TTGGGGAAGAGATGCTTTTAAACTTTACCATTTAAGTATTCTTACGGCCAGCTAAAAATTAATTGTTTTTATCTTGTAAACACTCAAATAGCTTAATGTTTGTGTAGAATTTGTGTAGAACACTCTTGAATTAAACCGTAAGACAAATGAGGACATGTAATATAATATTTTAATCCATAGTGGTGTATAACTTTTACCAAATTAGCTCATGAACCGCTGGAAACATGATGCAAATTCACAACTAATGAAGTCAATTCAGGATAGATAGCATGGATAGTTGATTTACACGAGCCAGCATAAAAAAAAAGTTATATAACAGTCTATTTTACATAAATATAGCTAAAATATGATGTGGTAGTAGCTGAGAGTCATTCACAACACATATTCTAAGTGTGTTGTTTGAGATTTCTAATTACCACTGACACTTTTTATTTGTGCCATAAGGTGGAAAACAGAGAGATTAAAGAGTATACTAGACAACTGACATAAACAATAGCACGTAGCTTAGATATTATGGTAGGAAACTTTTGTAATCAAATGAAGTATGACTTGTTTTTTTATGTCACAGGAAAGTAATAGATCATGAGAAAAACAGTCAGTTAAGTTGGGATCCAGTTCTGAGGTCTGGCCAAATAAAAAAGGATGTTCCTAATAAATCTTTTCATCAGATGCACTGAGTCTTGATGCAGAAAGCACCGTCCTGCTCATCACCAATGAGGGAGCCAACATGTCCACACATGCTGCAGAGTCTGGATGTTTGGGGGAGGGCGGCTGTGTGAGATCATTCAAATATCCTGAACCACATCAGTGAATACTGTAACACACTAACACACAAACAGCCTGTGGACTACACGCATACAGCACACACAGCTGCATCTGGACAGATGTGACACTCCCATGCCGGTTCTGATCATTGCTCCAAATGAGGACTAAGACACAACGGCTTGTGAGAAGCTCAGAAGTTATAGTCACAGTTTTACGGAAAGATAATAACAGCTGAAGGACACTATGTTATCTCGTTTAATTGTGTTCAATCTGAGGAAAATAAATCAAGCTAATTCAAGAACATTCATCCTGAATGACCACAAGCATGCTGCACACACCCTGGTCTGTCTGCAGCTCAGCCTCAGCAGGGTGTGTGTGTGTGTGTGTGTGCATGTTTGTCCTTTAATATTATCATCTGGATATGCTTTACAATTAGGAAAACCAGAACCATCCACAGCAGCTTTATATGACCTAGGAGGCAGTGGAAGACTTCATCCTATTTATTAATTTCTGAATAATAAGTATGAATAATAAGATATTTTTAACAGTGTCTTTTAGGCTAATAAAAAATGGTGTTCTGTAAAAATTTCATCCCTCTCCTCCAAAAAAAAAAAAAAAACCCACCAAAAACAATATGGTGTATGACAAAGAAAATATATATGTATATATTTGTAATGAAAAATAAGGAAAACCATTGTTAACTTTTGTTTTATCCTTTTTCTCTTCAAAATAATACATTTTATTTTTTGTTTTTTAATTATTTTTTTTAATTTTCTTAAAGACAGTAAGGAAACGTCAGTAGGAAGAGCAAAGTTCATGCTGAATAATCCAGGTTAAAAAAAATCCAACAAAGTTCAGTTATATGGATGTGTTTTTGTGTTGTTGTTGTTGACTTAGTTTGGCTCCTTGGACTGATGAAGCCCCTTGGATGAAAGACAAAACATTTCAACAAAAACAAAAATCAAAAAGAAAAAGAAAGAAAGAAGGAAATTGAATCATACAGATGACCTGACTGAACTTTGTTGGATTTTTACCTGGATTATTGAGCATGAACTTTGATGTTTTGAACCACTTGGCTATGGCTGCCTCAGAAGAGTCAATGGGAAGAGGGCAGGCCCCAGAAACCATCTTATCACCAGTAAACTGGCTGGTCCACTATGGGAGTGTGCTGCTTGTGGGACTGAGTTTGTTGTGGCTCCTCAGACTGATGAAGTCCTTTGGATGAAGGACAAAATGTTTCAACAACAACAAAAAAAGACCATCCAGATGACCTGACTTAACTTTGTTGGATCAGTAAGAAGGTTTGACATGAAAGCAGTGCAGGCTGCTTTCCCTGAGCAGACTCCTGACCTCTGACCTGTCTGGAGCCGCAGAGGTAAGTAAATATTGTTATGGTTTATTTGTCCACATCTCTAAACATCCGTTATAAATTACTGAGTGTGCATGCGCACTTATCTATATGTCAGTTAATGTCTGTGTATGTGGGTGTAACACTGCCTTATCAGAAATTACCCTGGGAGATAAACAAAGGATGCTCTGGGGGGTTAATGTGGGGCATCTGCTAGATCCTGTTGTCTGGTTTGGTAAAAATGAGACAAATTAAAGCTGCAGGGCTCCATTTTGAGTTAAGGTGAAATCACATGAGGTGAGAATGTGAGCATGAACAGAAACAAGTAGAAAACTGAATAATTTATTTGACCTATTTAAGTAAATTTAAAGATTATCTGACGAGAACAGTGATTCAAATGTAACCTTCTTTTCTATTTAAGAGATTTAAATGCAACTTATTTGATTTAAGTTTTTGTTTGAACAATAAAGTGATAACTTGTACTGTCAGTGCAGTTCTGCTTCTCTATGAACACTGCAACTATTAGGCCTGATGGGGCATTTATAGTCCATCATCACACAAACTTTGTCGTTTTAAATGTCTGAACCATTCATCAGGGCATCAAAGCCATTTCTGTGTTGACATAAACATAAACGCGATGACCTCACACGTCATGGTTCTACATTATTAGTTTCCCACACAACAAGGATTTACAGATGGTGTTCACGCAGACAAAGGAGAGTCTGATGAAGCTGCAAACATAAAGAGGCTCTGAAAGCCTGTGATGATGGATGGAAGGAGAAGCTCGTCTGATGCTTAATAAAATCTTATTTTTGCCAGTTTGCACCTCAGTTTTTCAACAGACGGGAAATAGCATAAAACGAAACAATAAGTAGATTAAGTAGTTGGCACTGTTGCCTCACAGCGAGAAGGTCCTGGGTTCAATCCCTGGTTTGAACCTGGGGTCTTTCTGTGTGGACTTTGCATGGATTTCCTCATATTTGGGTGGGTTTTAATTCAGATGCTTCAGTTTTCTCCCATAGTCTAAAACATGCATGTTAGGCTGCCTTCAGGCCCAGGCCTCCCTCGCAAATGAGATCTGTGATCTCAATGGGATTTACCTGGTTAAATAAAGGTAGGTAGGCAAATAAGTAAGTAAGTAAATAAATACATGGTATTGAGCCTAATTAGGTTGATATAGCAAGTGTTTGGTTCAGTTATAATTATCAGCACTCAATGCTGTTCAGTGTCAGGAGGGCTGTGATCTGTCTTCCATCAGGGAAACTAAAGAGCCACTGGCCAAAAGGATGGACCAGAACAGAAGAGCAACATCGTCAGGACAGGACTCTGTGGTCTACACTCATCTGCAGGTCAGCAGTCACTCTTTCATCGATGAAGATGTTCACATCCTTGATAGAGAGGAATGATAGGTAGAGAGAGGAGTGAAGGAAGCCATATTTGTGACGAGAACTAGTCCATCATTAAACAGGGAGGGAGGCCTCCATGTCCAAATCACCTTCTTGCAATGCTTTTATTGCTAGTATGACTCAGCCCTCTGTGAATAACAAGCGGTCATCAGAGTACTGTATTAACAATCAGGCGTTAGGCTGATGGTCCTCCTTTATCATGTGAACAGCTAGTTTTGGTTGTCACCAATAATCTGGTTGATCCACCATGAGAAGTGATTATTTATAAGACTGAATTTAATGCAGCTCCTCAGACTGAAGAAGACTTTGGGATAAAAGACAAAACGTTTCAACATTATACATTTTTATTGATCTATTTGTCTTTATTTTTATTGATCCGTCCACAGGATCTGACTTAACTTTGTTAGAGTTTTCTACCTGGATTATTGAGCACGCATCAGGAGATAATTCTCAGTAAACAATTAAATCTTGCAAGTAATAAAGATCAGGTTCAGCACATGATTTCATTTGTGTGTGAAGACTTATGGGTCTGTCTGATAAATGATGGCAGCAGTCCCCCCCCCCCCACACACACACACACACAGACGTTTAATGAGAAAAAGGTGCAGCAGCACAACATCTTTCCTTCTCGTTCTGCTCCCCACTCCCCACCCCCATGCTTCCCCTCTTTTAGCTCCACATCTGGTTCCCAAACTTGGGAAAGGACGCCTTGAAAAGAACAATATCTGGGTCAGACTTCACTTTCTTCTTGAGTGTGAGCCAGTATGACTGTAATTGTTTGAAAAGTGCTTCATTTGTTTGTCTCAAACTGAGCACTGTGGATTATCCCAAAGGCATTTACACAAGTTAGGTTTTAACTACGGGCAGTGTTTGAAGAAATAGTAAAAGGCCATGATGAGACATGGTGACCTGAATCTGGCAGAAAGGGAACTTTCTTTTCATATGGAACATCTGCATCAATATGCATGTTATGTTCTTATGTATGTATGTCTTATATGACATAAAAAATACAGATTCACACTAAAACTTCCTTTTTAACTTTATGGAAGAAAACTTTGAGACTTTTATGGCAATGAAGTTTAGGGCCACTAAAATCTAATCTTATGCTGCCACCTATTGGACAAAAAGGTTTTTACATGTTCAGTAATGTTCATACTGTACTATCATCTATCCATCCATCATATTTACCCGCATCTGTTCAATTTAAGTTTTAAGTAAAAAGAAAACAAACAAAAAAAATAGATTTCAGTGATGAGTCAAAGAAAGCTCTCTATAAATCACCCAATATTTAAAAGGTTCATGAGTGTTTCACATCTGGTTAGATTAAAACTGTTACAACAAAGATAATGCAATTAAAAATGTTTGTATTTATTCTGTTACAAAGACAGGATGAACAAACAGTGGTTCAGTCTGAAGGGCAACGTTGTAAAAGAGTGCAAAGCATTGTTAAAAATGAGCTTTAACAAATAAAATCATCCTGGAATGTTGTAAGAGTGGTTTAAAGAGAGACTGGTTCAGATGACACTTTAGTTTTCATCCCTGCCTGTTTGTGTCTCAGCCTTCTTTCTTTGGATACTTCTTCTTGGCCAGTCTGATGAACTCCTCTGCACTGTCCAGTGAAACCAGACGGTCCTGAAGAGAACATGGAGGGAAAAGAACAATCACAACACGGTCCAAGATCACACATTTTAGACAAAACTGACCTTTTATTAAAGAAAAAAATTGCTTCCAGATTTAAAAGAGAATTGAAATTAAACTTTATTTACATCCTAGTTGGTTACAACCTAACTTTAACATTTTTCGACAAAGTATTATGTTCCCGTTACAAAGAAATAATTTAAATGTAACCAGTTTGAGCAGCAGTAAATTGATAGCAAAGGAGAAAAGAACACATTAATAGAATAAATTATATTTCTGCACCTTTTTAAAGTTTTAAGTGTTGCACAAATAAGCCATCCATTTTCAAAGCAGATTGAATGCACAATTTAAATGCCGTAAATGTTGTAGTAAACAGAAATAAATAAAGGTTGCGTGTGTTTGTGTACCATGACATAGAGGTATCTGTTGTGATGTTGTGTCCCAGGCGGGAACAGAGACGTGTGGTCCAGCAGCTGTTTCAACAGTCCTGTAGCTTTGCCAAGATGCTCTTGATCTGGACCTAACCGGCTCTGTCTGTTCACACACAGCAAAGAGTCCACCTCGCACTGGTAACCTGAAGAGGACAAAAGATGACAAAAGTTTAGGGAAAGCGGGTAAAAAAAAAAAACAAGAAGTCTGCATGGACAAGGTCATTGAGCTGAAGAAACTCAGCATCCTCTTCACCAGTCACACAAACCTTACAACTTCTGGAACTTCAGATCCCTTTGCACACTTTTACCTCCTACATAAGTTACAACCTCAGAAACAGGACACATCAGATTCCACCTGGTTCCCCTCTCTTAATGGAACAAGGCTGCTGGTCCAGATGGTGTCAACCCCAGGGTCCTAAAAGCCTGGGGGAATTCTCTGGATGCCTTCAATCATAGCCTGAGTCCAGAGAAGATTTACATCTCATTTTCATTCATACATTGGTACAGTGACCCTGAAGTTGGATTGTGTCACAGCTGATAGTCTGGTAGACTCGGTTCTGTTGGGGACCAAAATTCAGAACATTTGTTTACATTTCAGCTGGTGTGGTTCACATTCACACTGCACTGAGTCAATCGAGCCAACTTGTTCCCCCCGTCGCCTGTGGTGGCGCTGCACCAAGAACGACTGAAGGAAATGACACAAAAACTTCTGAAGAAGATCTTCTTCCGAAAAATCAAAAATCAAAAATGGATTGGCGTCAAATTGTAGCATTTTTAGGATTTCTGTTTTGTCATTTTTCAACAATGAGCATGAGCGGAAGACGAGGCAGGAGACCATGGAGAATGTTTTTTTTCACACAAGGCAACTGAGACGGCTCCATTTGAGGTACGTAAATTGCACGTTTGTTTTCCCTGCGCTGTAGTTCAATTCATGACTTTGGAGCGGTCTCTGGTCCGCTTGCATTCACACTGCTTCGAACCGCCCCAGAGTTCACTTCAACCGAACCAAGACCTAGGTATTTAGGCGATCCAGAGTTCGCTTTTTTGGTCCACATCAGAGTTCGAGTGCACATCTCCAAACGAACCAGACTTTCTAGGCAAATGGAGTAGAGTTCGATTAAAGCGGACTAAACCACAACTATAAATTAGAATACACAACAACATTTGAAAAAAACACAACATTTGAAATCTTACAGATATAACTGACCTAAGAGACACAATTAGCTTGGTGTGAATTATATGTAAAATAAAATAAAAAAAATCAAGATTTAACAACTAAATAATAAAAAATTTAAAAAAATAATCTTGCAACATTCTTATAAAATGTGGTTGAATCACAGGTAGTGTCTTTAGAATCACAGCTGAACAGTTTGGAAAGCTCAGCGTCTCACCCAGCTGCAGCAGGATCTTCTTCCATCGATGTCTGACCTCCCGTCTGGCATAGCACAAAGTGTGGATGTCATAGTTCAGCTTCTCCCATTCCTGCAGACAAACACGATGTGACAAGAGACAAGTTGAGATAGAAATTTGAATGAAAATCTTTGGTTTTAATGAGTTACCAGCATTTAATATTGAGTTATGTGCCTCTTTATGAAGTGTCTGCTACTGTGATGATATGCTGACCTTTTGAAGGAAAGTTAAAAGTCTTACATTTACAGTTACCTTGTATTTGCAAATATTTTATTATGCAAATGACATTTTGAAAAATAAAAATATTTTCTACGTCAGTACAGTTTACAGGTGACATGAATGTACGTTTGTTGTGCATCTTAATATATGTCATATTTTTCGGACTATAAGGCACACTTAAAATCCTTTAATTTTCTTAAAAATCAACAGTGAGCCTTATAATCTGGTGCGCCTTATAGTCCGAAAAATACGGTAATAGCTCTTGAGACTTTTTTAACAAATAAACCAACACAATATTAACCTCATAGGGCACAAAACAATCATTTTCAAAAAGGTTTTAATTCTGGAAATGAGGCGACGGAGAGAAATGGAGACCCAAACCTGCTGCAGCTTGAATTCTGAGAACCTTTTGTTTGTATTTATACCTGTAGCCCCACACTAAAAAAAACACTCTAACTTTACGGTAAATTGTTTCCAGATAGTTCATGTTGTTGAGAAGCCAACTGTATTGTCTAATAAACCAGTTTACTTAACTTTACCCACACAAGGATTAAGTTTCAGACCTCTATCGGATCGTTACAACAAGAGTGACGCAAGATGTTTCAACATCTGTGCTTAGTTTACTTTATTCCATATGTAACCATTAGGGTTTTTTCTTTCTCACAGTTTGACAAAAGAAATTAAAAAAAATTAATTAATGATGGAAAAACTGTACATTTTGGGGCATCAAGTTTTGGGAGGCTTTTGCTCTTCGTCATGGCTCTCTGTAACTTTACACAATAATTATACTTTTACATTTTTCATAACAGATATTTTACTGAATGAATGTTACAGAGCCTCCCCCCAGTCTGTGAGGCCCCATGTTGACACTCCCCCAACATGCTGGCAATGTTTCAGTAAATGCTCATTTTCCCAGCCAGCAGCCGGTTGTCCCTCATCTTTTTTAAGGGATTCCTTTATTAACACAATGTGCCCAGTGTGCTGTGCAAGCAGCTATTCTCAACACAGTCACATGTTCACCTAACTCGCACTCTCACGAACAATGTGAAATATCTGAGCTGCACTGTGGACGGTCACTGAACTGCAGTCCCAACATTCTGAGGAAGTTCAAGTTCAAGAATCTTTATTATCCCCGTGGGACAATTTGCTTCACAGTCAGCACAAGACACCAAAATAACAGTAGAGATCATCCCTGTTCATTGAGAAGCCTGGTGGCTACAGGGATGAGTGAGTTTTTCAGTCTGTTCGTCGTACATCTGAGCTCCAGATGGGAGCAACGTGAACTCACCGTGGAGTGGGTGATCAGGATCTGCCAGAATCAACCTGGACTTGTTCACTGACCTTGCCTCAAAACAGCATCTCTGCAGCTTTATCTGTGGTTCACCTGGAGAACAATGGAGCAACAAGAAGTAGTTGCTCTTGTTTTCAATTAGTAAATTGGGGCGGCTGTGGCTGAGTGGTTGGAGCAGTCGTCCTCCAATGCAAGAGTTGGGGGGTTCAATTCCACCAGCAGTCACATGCTAAAGTGTCCCTGGGCAAGACACTGAACCCCTCATTGCCTCCGATGTGTGTTGCATAGGTGTATGAATATGATAAAGCACTGATTAGTCTTTGTACAGATCTAGTAGAGTGCTGTATTAATGTGTAAATGAGGGCACAGATTGCAGCGTAAAGTGCTTTGAGTATCTCAGTAAAATAGAACGTTGCTATATAAGTACAGTCCATTACCATTAAAGAAATAAATGCCGTGTATGTAAGTGAAGCTCAGCACCAGCGCTCCAAACACTTTGTTCTCACCCAACTTGAACAAACTCCATAGAAATGAGTGCATTTGTTAGGATATCTAAAAAAAATTAAATGTAGTCCTCTGGACAGGTTAAAAAAAAAAAATTGTAGAAATGTTTCTTATTTCATCCTAAAGACTTCTTCAGTTTGAATTTCGGATGAAAGACGAAACTTTCTACTTTTTTAAATTTTTTTTAACCCGTCCAGAGGACCAGACTTAACTTTTTTTAGATTTTTCAACCTGGATTATTGAGCATGCATCATATTTTAATGTATGAGCACCCATCATTCACAGCTCTTTAGTAATAAGTAGATGTTACACATATAATTTATTTCTCCCAGTGTCAAAAGAAATGGAGATTTGACTTTCCTAAAAGGTGTGGTGGGAAAGAACCAGACAACACGGATGAAAAAGAAAATATATTATTGTCTCCAAGTTGGTGCTTCGATCAGTTTTACAGTCTCCATGTGAGTCACTTTGATCCTGAAGGTGTTTTTGTTGCACTTTTTAAGACACTAGAAAAAATATAGCTAAAGTGTATAAATACCAAAATAATTTGTCATACAGAAGCAAATGTCAAGTCTTCAACTTTGATTGATTTTGGACAAGAAATCTCTTTGTGAGTCTTTAACTTTTTTAGTGATGTCACCTAAGTTCATCTACAAGGTTAGCTTTCTTTGCTGTTCTTTTAAAACTGCATCAGTGTCCGTTAATGAAATCGTTTGACTGTACATATATTGAGTTTTCATCAAACATAGGTCAAGGTCATTTATTCATGTGACTCAACCTGAAAGAGAATCAAAGAGTTCTTTGAGAATCACCGGTGTGCCATTTGCTTTGATTGGATGATTGAATTGAAGAACTCCAGTTGAACAAATCAGAACCAGACCCAGATTTTCCTACAAGTACCGGTAACACAAATGTAAAGGTTTATAAAACAGTGTTTGTATCAGCCACTGTGATTTGTCTTTTTTTTTTTTTTTTTAAGGCTGGAGTTGCTTTAAGATGGCAGTAATTCACACTGGTCTCAGTTCCAGTCAGATTAGCGGTTAGCTCATCAATACCATCATGGAAGTTGTTCAAAAATATTCTACAACAGGCGATTTTTTTCATAAAATTACACAAAACCTCATTTCAAAATGTCAAACATATTCCTTATATTCACACAATGTCAACGATAGATAGAAGGACATAATGCTGAAGTTGAAGCCAAAATGGCATGAGTGCCCCCTGCAGGCTGGCTGCAGTATAAGTACAAAGTACAAACAAGAGTAAAAAGTAAACAAAACACACCTGAAATCAATTTTCCAGGTGTAAATTTATTTTGCTGTACAGTTTATCGTTTATCGTGGTGGATCCGTACCCTGAAGCCCCACGATAAGTGAAAAACCGTAAAGTATGAATAATAATACAAGTAGTAAGTAGTAGTTTATTTTAGTGTGTGTATATATATATATATATATATGGTGTTTTAAACCCTTCCCACACTCTTGCAACATTCTAAACAATGTTTCTAAACTTTAAACTCTGTAAAAGAGCACAGATGATTTCAGCTCCCTGTCTCGTCTGCTCTTTGCCACCTGCAAGTGTTCTTGGCCACGCCCACTTCTTCGCTCTACACAAGAATAGCTGATCAGCAGTTAATCCTGCAGTGTGGGCGGCTGCACAGATGTGCAGGAGGACACTTTTTCTGCAGCTCTGGGCTGCACAAATATGCAGCAGGTGCTAAATAATTTTAAATAATTTGTTTGAAATAAAAATTAAATGCTGACCGTATGGCTCATCGATCAGTTAGCCATTTGTTTGTCATGTCCAATCTTATTTAAAAAAAAAACGCAATACAGCAAGTTCGCGAAAAAACAAACCATGAAGTAGCGAGGGACTACAGTACATTTATTTTGCTATATATTACAATAAATGTGACTAAGGAAGAAGCGGGTGAAGATAATGGATGATGTCATATTGGTGGTTAATGATTTTTTCAGATTGTCAAAAGGATTTGTAAAAAGCTGCTTAGATCCAAGTAAAAAAACAACAACTTGATTAGCAGAAGGTGAATTTTTGAATTCCTGTGATTAATTTTCCATTTGCAGCTTTTTGAAACAATGAAACATATTATCACTATCAACAAGTCTTTTTCTCTCTGACAAAGTAAAAACTAATTTTAATACACAGGTTTGTTGTCATTGTTCCATTCTTGTTATCATTGTTCCATTCTTGTTATCATTGTTCCATTCTTGTGCCCATCAACATTTTGTCTGTTACCTCTGTAGCCTGATCAGCCTGGTCTCTCATGCTGATGAAAGCCTGCAGCTCTCTGTCTGATCCACGTCTGACAGAGGACTCATCGGGTCTGTTTGAGCTGGCACACAGATCTGCAGTTCTGCTCAGACTCCTGTGGTTCTTCCACAGGCTCCTTTCTGAAGGCGGAGGTCCAAACAGGTCCTCATCTGTGTCACTGCCACTGGTCTCGCTGGACAAAAGCTCAGGTTGTTGTGAGGATGCAGTGCTATGCATACTTGGGAGATAAAAACAACAACGAGCAACATAAACTGGTTTATATATATATACGTATATTGGGGTTCGCTCTCAGCTACCACCATAACAAATTTCAGCATATGGCAAAAATATTTAAAGTTATAGCCATTTTTTTCTTTTAAACTATGGTGGTCATCTTGGAATTTTTTATTTGTATTCAGTATGTGATGGGAAGCGTTCTCAGCTATAACCTCACCGAATTTCAGCTCAGTATCTTTTAAAATAGCCGTTATCATATTTTTTTCCCCTTTTAGCTAAGGCGGCCATCTTGGCTTTTTAATTTACATTCGGAATGTACAACACTCTCAGCTATACGGCTATACCAAATTTCAGCTCAATATCTCAAAGAATCACCGAGTTATAGTCAATTATGAATTTTCAGAAGTAGCTGTGGCAGCCATCTTGAATCAAAATGGCTCCAAAAATTAACGAGTGTTTTGTTCAGAGATCACTTCACCCTGTGTCATGTGACTTGACTGTGGCAGTTAAAGGCTGTTAAACGTTACCGTGAGTGTTTTTCTATAAGAAAAATGACATGTTTGTTTGCAAATTATGTCGCCATGGTAACTCGCAAGGCCAATAAAAGTAATAGTACACATCACGGTGCTGAGCCGGTTGTTTAGATATATATAATATGTGGGGGAACACATTGAAGTTCGGGCCGCATTAAAGTTGATAGAAGAGTGAGACCCTTTTCAGGTGGATAATAATAGGGGGCTGCCTTCCTATAAACAGAAAGTCAAGAGTAGAACAATTGTGCTCATTAAAGTTTCTCTTACCGTAAAATAGCCTTCTTCTCCTCTTTGTTGTGCTTTGGAAAGCAGTGACAGCAACAGACAGACAAATTAGTCCCCATTTCCACTCAACCAAAGTTGTTCAAGGTGGATCTTTGTCCCTTCAAAATACCAAACAGTTCTGCTTCTGGTAAAAAATACCAACAAAATCTCCCAGAATCCTTGGGTAATTAAATATTTCCAAATAGAAACGATCATATTTTTAAATGTCCAGGAGTAGAAATCTTGGCCACATCCTAACTTGTTTTGTCCTTTCCTCCGTCCTGGCCTGGAAAACAGCCCCTCCTGGCCTCGGTGAGAGCTGTCTGCCAATTATCCACGTGAACAGAAACGGGACAACAACACACAAACACAGGGGACAGTTCACGAATGAATGGCATGTTTTTTTCAGCGATGATGGTGCAGAATGAAGGGATGCAGGCAGAGATTTACAGCTTCATTACTGCACAACACAAACTCAAACCAAACATGACTTGTTTCTAAGATCTCTTTAGAATTAAAAATATCAAATTGATTTAAGTACATTATCTCAAACTTGCAAGAAAAAAAAAACAATAAAAGTATAATAAAAAAAATAGGTATCTAGTGCCTAATAGAATAAATAGTAGCGTTTATTATATACATGCCAAAATTGATTTTTCTCAAACTTTTGATTATTTTTAAAGGTCAGCAAATTTTTTTTAAAGTTTTCAGTAAATGTCGTTCATGTTCTCCACTAAAGATGGCAGCATCGTCTCATTTTTAACCTGAACTCATTCTCTTTGAGTTGTGTGTAAAGACATCATTTCTTACCAAACCTGCTTCTCTCATCACATCCGTTTGTCCAACTTCACTACCAAAGTGCCACTGAGCAAGCTGCTGTCTCCTGCACTGCCCCCATATGTTTTTTTGGTGAATGAGAGAGAATATAAGAAGTGCCGCATACAGAGGGTAAATACTTCAAATATATAAAGTACTGGATTAGTGAGGAATGAGAGACACGTTACAAATTATGGATCACTTAACATTTTTACAATCAGCCTGGTTGACGTTCATCAGCCAATCAGCAAAAAAGAAAAACTTATTGATGGCAGTGGCTGGAATAAATCTGCCACATTGACTTTACTCTGAAGCTGTTCTTCATTTTTAATAAACATCGATTGGATCATGTAAAGCCTTAACATGAATGAAGTCGGCAAGAGTTTAACAAACTTGAACGTTCTTATGTTTCGTTCTGTATACATATATTTAGGTTCTTGGATATAAAAGGACAACAAACTTTAAAACTGGTTTGTTTTAATATTAATGTTTGTGATTTTGCTCTCATCCATGTGCTTTAGTTATTGACCATGAGTTATTTTGATGTTTTTAACATGTGTATCAGAATTGGCCCAGAATTTCACAATAAATACATATTTTTTGCTCTGCAGCAACTCAAAGACTCAACACTTAGATCTGTCCTTTATCGAAACTGTTAAACCTCATTTCTCATATTGCACATCTTCATCATTAACTGTCCAGATTTAAAAAGTGTTTGGCAGGTAGGTTATTTATTTATTTGTTTATTCATTTGTTTATTTGAGCATTTATTCATTTACTTGTTTATTTATTTGTTTGTTAATTATTTTATTTGTTTGTTTATTTATTTATTCATTCATTTATTTGTTTATGTGTGTGTGTGTTTTGTGTTTGTTTGTTTAATATTGTGTGTGTTTGTGTTTTGTTTCAAGATTAAGTTTCAAATTAGCATTCTGATTGTTTCACTATAATGCCCTGAACAAATTTATTTCTTTATATTTTATTGTTGTTTTGTTTATTTTCTTGAACATAGCTGAAGTACTTCGAGGAATGCACTTGTTGAAATCTGGCTCGAAACGTTTTGATCAGTCTTGATGAAACGGTGGATAAATCTTTCTGTATCTGTCATAAAACCCATTTTCACCTCAGAGATCTCACTCTGACCGTTAGATGTTATAGTATCTCTGTGCATGTTCTCTTTCTGGACTTTATCGTACAAATTTGTGCTTTCTCTTCCATCAGAGATTTATTTTCCTCTCTCTGCTACCTCATACACTACTGGGACCATCAGAATTTACCCCCCCCCCCCCCCCCACACACACACACACACACTCGGTCAATGACAACATGACATTGATGTAGTGCAGCTGAATACCTTATGTGAGGATGAGTGATGGGCCGCTCACCCTGTGTATGGGTGTGCATGTGAGCAGAATTATTTCCCAACACACATGAAACTTTGACAGAAACGAAAGACGGGTCAAACACTGAGGAGGACGAGCGAATAGCAAGCAGCAGCTCTGGTGTGCTCACATTTACACACAACCCTTCAGGAAGCAAACTCCATCACTTACATCCACAAGGATCATGAAAGATGCTCGCATGTGACTTACATACACACACACAAACACACACACACACACACACACAACTGAAAAACTGGGCAAGGATTCAGAGACACAGATTGGAGGTGATTATAATTCACAGTGAAGTCTGGCTGCTTCAGTTATCTCCAGCTCATCCATCTATTTCTGTGTGTGCACGTGTGGTTGAGGACTCATCAAGGTAGCAGTGAGGGGAAAAAACTGTGGGGACATATAAATAAAATATAGTGAAGTTTAGACCAAGAGGAGATGGCACATCTGTAACCTAAAATAAAGATGAGAGTGAAGAACATGTGATAGAAACAAAGACAGGACAAGGAAGATAATAAATGTGCACAAACCACTAAATGATCCCCCCCCCCCCCCCCCCCCCCCCAATAAAACCATCTCTGTAAGCTCAAAGATTTGTTCTAGGGCCTTCCAGTACCGCCCAAACAATTAGAAAACCAGTTCCCCCATTTCATTTAGTCTTAGTCCAACATTTTGGTTCTTTGCATACATCTAATGACAAGGATAAAGTAGAGAAATTGCATTTCCTGCAAAAATGCAGTGTGAATACTTTTTGCAGAAGACCTTGCTGAAAAATAGCTGACATTAGCTCAAACAAAACATGATGAAACTTAGCTGAAATGGAAGAACAAGCCTAAATTAACATAACATTAACATAAAGCTGAAAGAACACAGATTTTCTGAATTAGGTTTAAATAAGCAGAAATGAGCACAAAAATTAGAAAATTAGCTAAATAAAAGCTGATAGTAGCACACAAAAAAGCTGAAAAGTAGCTGAAAGTGCAGAAAGAAGCTTACCAAAAGGAAGTGGAAAGAATTGAAATGAGCTAAAAAAAAAAAGGATTAGCTGAAAAGCTCAATTTAGCATCAAAAGAGCTAAATAGTTGAAATTGCAGAACAAGCTGAAACTTGCAGAAAAAAGCTGAAAGGAGCATAACAAGCTGAAATTAGCATAAATAAATTAATTATGCGGGCAGCACGGTGGCGCAACTGGTAGAGCTGCTGCCTCTCAGCGAGAAGGTCCTTGGTTCAAACCCCGGTCCAGGGGCCTTTCTGGGTGGAGTTTGCATGTTCTCTCCGTGCATGCGTGGGTTTTCTCCGGGTGCTCCAGTTTCCTCCCACAGACCAAAAACATGCATGTTAGGCTGATTGGTAACTCTGAATTGTCCCTAGGTGTGAGTGAGAGAGTGAATGGTTGTTTGTCTCGTTTGTCTCTATTTGGCCCTGTGATGGACTTGCGACCCGTCCAGGGTGTACCCCGCCCCTCGCACAGTGATTGCTGGACATGGGCACCAGCGACCCCCGTGACCCAAAATGGAATAAGCGGGTAAAGATAATGGATGGATGGATGGAAATTAATTATGCTGAAAGTAGTCGAACTTACCACACAAAACTTTAATTTATCTGAAAACAACTGAAATTAGCTAAAAATGCTAAAAATGTAGCTGAAAAATTGAACAAGCTTAAATTAGCTGCTGAAGAAAACAGAAATAACATGTTTGCCCAATTGGGCTTAAAGAAGCAGAAATGAGCACAAAAATATGAAAATTATCTGAAAAAGCTTAACTTAGCAAAAAAAGAAACAGCTGAAAAGTAGCTAAAAAGGCAGAAAGAATCTTAGATTACTGGAAGGAAGTGGAGTGGAGCACATTTTTTGCTGAATTAGGCGTAAAACGGTTTAAATGAGTGCAAAAAAATGTGGAATTAAATTAGCATAAAACCAGCTAAATAGTAGCTGAAATAGCAGAAAAAGATGAAACTTGCATAAATAAGCTGAACACTGAAATTAGCAGAAATAAGTTAGAAGAAGCACAAAAATGTTGTCGTTAGCAGAAAGAAGCTGAAACGAGCTGATTTAAAAAATAAATAAATAAATTGCACAAGGAAGCCGAAAGAAGCTGAACCAGAACAAAATGTGAAAGGAGCAGTAAAATGTTGTAAACAGATCTAGAGATCTGAAGGATGTAAAATTGGCTCAATTCATTTTCTATGAGAAAAAAAAAACCTGCAGAAAAGGCTAAATATTTCACAAATCTAAAGTTGCACCAATACCAAAAGTCAAAGCACCCTTCTCCTGACAGAGCTGAACATTTTGATATATGATTTGTTGAAATAGCACAAAAACTGTGAAACAATAATGAATGACTGAATCACAATAGTGTGAATGCTTCATGCTGTATTTTTTGTTTGTTTGTTTTTACATATTCAATAAATAATTAACAAACTAAACTAAACTAAACTTTCACACGATAATACTGTACAGGACCGTATGTATAGAAACATAGAAGGTGCGTCTTGGTGACGTTTCCTGAAACCTCTCAACAGTGAAAACACTTCAGAATATTAATTACTGCCAGCTGAACAAATCCTACATTTGTTAGTTCAGTATAAACACACAGTTAATGATTTTTTTTTTTTACTTCTGTGCAACTTAAGCTGTAAAAATTAATTTGAACTCTGGACTTAGCCAAGTTTCAGTTTCCTGTCACGTCAAGGCAGATGCTGATGCATGAGGAAGTTTAAGTGATTCTGGAAACATCATAGAGCTTAAAAACATATGAAACATGAAAATTAAATGTTTTAGGATTCAACAAACGTCAAATATCTGCTTAACCCAAAGGATCACTTTGTAGCTCAAAAAGAACAAATGTATTTGTTGTTTTAGGCTCATTGCGAGTACATACTCTCCTGCTCCTATAAACTG